GGATCAAGTTCAGTAAGGTCTATCAGGGCAGATGGTGCAGGTAATAATGTTCAGGGGTATAACCAAGGCCGCATGTCTGGACCACCATGGAGATAAAGAAAGTGACCCTACTAAGGTTTCTTCCTGATCCTTGGGCATAAGCTATTTTTTCTGTCTTATGTTTACTCCTCTTTTGAAGAGTAATGAATGGTTCTAATGGTCGGAAAACCTTTGATATGCCACTAAATCTTGCTTAGATATTGAAACTTTTTGAATTCGGCATTAGCCGAGAGGGGAATGGTACCTGTTTCTGTTAGACATGACCACCTCAGTAAGTGGGGTGTGAAGATGCACAGGTGCCAGCACTCTTCTGAGCAAATGTTCACTCTCCCCTCATGAAACTCTCTGCTCAGCGTTGTTAAGGATTTTGACCTTGATGTTTCAGTGAAAATTCCGAACAGTGCTTACTTTTCAGTTTCTGATGTTCCTGGAATTGTGCTCTTATGGAATAGCATATAAGCCTCATTTTTGTAGGAAAATGAAGTAGAATGCATAGTGCAACCCTTGGAAATGTAACAGACATCCTTGGTAAGGCCATGTGTTCTTTGGAAGAGGCTCTCACCTCAACATTTTAGTACAAGGGAGCTTCTTTCCTGCCATTTCTTATATTTCATTTCCAATAGCCTTTTTCATAATAGTATGTAACTCTCAGGGCTCATGTACTACTGCACCTAAGTGCTTAGTTTTGTGCTGAGTACTTCATTTGTATCAATTTATCATATAATGTAGGTATTACTATCATTCCTGTTTCATAGATGAGTTCATTGAGTCTTAAGAGAGTTTATGTAACTTACCCAAGGTAACAACCATAAAAAATGGAGAGTCGCCCTTAGTTATGTTTGACACCAAAGCATATTGTTTTATCAGTACATTCTATTACCTCTGATTAATTCCTCAAAAGAAGTTGTCTGACTTAAAGAGACTATACTTTTAATGTTGGTCACAGAACTATATTGTATGTTGCATATAACTAATATATTTAAAAAATATCTTTGGCTTATGAGTTGTATGGTGAAAGGGGCCTCTGAATTGCACTGTACTAGTTATCCACATTTACTCTTAATGTCTTCTTTTTATTTCCTTTGCATATTTGTTTTGTTTCCTTTGCTTATTTTCCATTCCTGCAGCCTTCTTATTTACAATTTCTTCAGTATTTTCATACCCTCTAGTATGGTTTAATATACAATCACTCAATACATATTTATTAATTGATTCCTTTCATACTAGAACATTTCCAAGAAGGAAATTATTTCATTTAATTTGCTCATGTTATAATTTCTAGTGATTCTTTTCATACTTCCAAAGAAATTAAAATCCTGGGTTTGAAGAAATCTGAAAACCGTAATTCCTGCTGTCAATTGATGGCTGCATGGTCTGTAGTTTATCTGCTGCCACTTGCCCTTGGGTTACCATTAATAGAGCTATGGCCCTCTGACTAATGTGGGTGTTAACAAACTTTGTTCTCCAAATTTGTGTGTCTGTGACCCTTAGAAACCTCAAATGTCTCTGTTAGACTACACGACTACATCAGTTTCTACAGGAGTGATGGATCAGATATGCTCTGCACAGTCCTGTTAAGCACTGAATGTGTTGGGCCATATTTGATCTATTGGTTGATTAATGATGATAATAAATGTAGCACCAGAATCAGGTGAAGATTCAACCAAGGTTTTCTTCTTACCTTTACCCATCAGATAATGAGAATGGCCAAGAAGCAAATGAGGCCTGGAGAGGACAATGTGTGCATGTATACTTGTCTGAGAACTATCAGCCTGCTTGTATTCAACAACAACTACAAATGATAGTAATAATTGGTAGTATTTATTGACCCTTAGTGTGTGTAAGACATTGTTTTAAAAGTTCTCACCACTCTTTATTATAGATGCTCTTATTATATTGATTTTAAGGATAAGGAGACTAAAACATTCATGACTCCCAGGGTATGGAGTTGGAATTTGCACTCATTGGCATTTGACTACATTGTGGGTGTCATCATATGCTATAACTATTCTTAATTTCTTGTGTTTTCCTGCATTATTTCAAAAAAGCTCAATATAGACCTTTGTAAATGCATTATATTCTAATTTAGGTAGTTTGTAGAACTTCAAAATATCATTGAGGTTTTGCTTATAACTTTCAAGTTCTAAACTTATTCAAGAAAAATTATAGAAAGTGAATAAAATATTTTAGAATAATATATTATCATTGGGAAAAATTCTCATTTGTATACATCTGGAGGCTTAAATTTCAAATAGCAATGCTTTCTAAAAGTGTTTAAAATTCTTCTTTATGTTATTCAGTGCATTATCATCTTGTAAAAAAATTAACATGGCAGGATAAAAGTCCTCTAAATTGACTTCAAATTGGTTTTCTAAACATGCAACTCAAATAGCATTTGCTTGTACCCTACTTAAGATAAAGTATCTTGCTGGATTCATCATTAATGGCTGCAATATTCCCAACAAAGAAAATGCAGGTGATGTTGGCTTGATGTGTAAATGGATTTTATTTAAAATCCTGGGTTTGAAGAAATCTGAAAACCGTAATTCCTGCTGTCAATTGATGGCTGCATGGTCTGTAGTTTATCTGCTGCCACTTGCCCTTGGGTTACCATTAATAGAGCTATGGCCCTCTGACTAATGTGGGTGTTATCAAACTTCGTTCTCCAAATTTGTGTGTCTGTGACCCTTAGAAACCTCAAATGTCTCTGTTAGACTACACGACTACATCAGTTTCTACAGGAGTGATGGATCAGATATGCTCTGCACAGTCCTGTTAAGCACTGAATGTGTTGGGCCATATTTGATCTATTGGTTGATTAATGATGATAATAAATGTAGCACCAGAATCAGGTGAAGATTCAACCAAGGTTTTCTTCTTACCTTTACCCATCAGATAATGAGAATGGCCAAGAAGCAAATGAGGCCTGGAGAGGACAATGTGNATTATCATTGGGAAAAATTCTCATTTGTATACATCTGGAGGCTTAAATTTCAAATAGCAATGCTTTCTAAAAGTGTTTAAAATTCTTCTTTATGTTATTCAGTGCATTATCATCTTGTAAAAAAATTAACATGGCAGGATAAAAGTCCTCTAAATTGACTTCAAATTGGTTTTCTAAACATGCAACTCAAATAGCATTTGCTTGTACCCTACTTAAGATAAAGTATCTTGCTGGATTCATCATTAATGGCTGCAATATTCCCAACAAAGAAAATGCAGGTGATGTTGGCTTGATGTGTAAATGGATTTTATTCTGAGGATGAATAAAGCAAAACCGAAAAACACTCAAAATGAATGAATAGCTCCACCTGCCACGGAGCAGATGTACAAACTGGGAAGTATTGTGTATGCATCTATTGTCATCTTAGCTAATTCTTGAAGCATTAGATGGATTTAGCTTTCACCAGTTCTAAAAAATGACAGATTTGTGATATTCAGATAGACTTATTGTTTGTTGTGCTCAGAATAAAGAAAGGAATTCAGAATATGAGAAGAATGGGCATCTGAAAAAAGTCGCTATGTAGAATTACCCTGTATTACAAAAGCTTATATAAAGAGTTAATAACATCGATCCTAAGCTGTGATCTCTTTATTCCTGGTCACATGGCAGATTTTAAAGAGCTGTAATAAAAATGATGCTAAACTATGGTTTCTTTAGGATGATGAACTCAGCAAATATTCATTGACACACACTATATCCAACAGCATCAAGCTAAATATGGGTAGTCAGTGGACAGGCTGGATCAGAATCACATGGATACTTAGAGGCAAAAATATTCCCGGACTTCTTGCCAGATATGCTGATGCAGTAGGTCTGGAGTGATGCCATGGGATCCATGAATTCTTGTAGACATCCATGGTTAGAAACTTGTTTAGAAGAGTAGTACTCAACTGGGCCAGTTTTGCCCCCAAGGGACATTTGGCAATGTCTGGAAACATTTTTGGTTGTCACAACTTGGAAGGGATGTGTGCAATTAGCATCTAAAGGGTAGAGGCCAGGGATGCTGCTGTATATCTGACCATGCACAAGACTCACTCACGCACCCACAAAACATATTGTCTGATCTAAAATTTCAATAGCGGTTGAGAAATGCAGATCTAGGCAATATAAAGATACATCCTCATAGAGTCCATAATTAATCAGGGTGAATAAAAGATTCACCAAAGTATCATGCATTCATAATTGAATAATATTAATGTTATCAGCCCAAAGAATCAAATAAAAAATTAAGCAAAATTGTATAAATGTTTTACCTTGAGATTATTAGTTATTTTATAGTATGACTAGAAACATCCTACTTGAAAAATATGAGAGAAACTGAAAAGTTATCTGTAACTGACAAGATATTTATAATGGGAATTATCTGGTTATGTTCTGCTGTGTTTGAAAAAAAAAGATTTAAAAATTTTTGACTGATCCTTAAATATCAATAAGGAGAAAAACATTTATTTGTAGACAGCAGGAATTCCTTTTTAAATAGCGACTGTGAAGTGAAAGCAGGTCTGCTTCCATACGTGTCATCTAAACAAGCAAACAAACAAAAATCAAATCCAGGAAGAGTCCATATGATTTTGTGAAATTATTTTGTCCTTTTTTGTGTCCTTATCTTACTCTCTCTCACAGATTCTCTTTCCTTGTTTTATATCATCTCTATAGATCAGTTGCTCACAAGCAGGAAGTACAATAAATTATTGGAAGTTATTTTGGTTTCTGTCAATGTAGGGTTTGGAGTAATAAGGAAAACAATTAAATCCTCAGATATCTCCAATGGCGACAATAAAAGTTTCATTTCCAGAGAGAAATAAAGGTTGGCTACATTGAACACCATGTGCAATCGCAATGAAAACTAAATTTTCAAACATTGGGAGATTCTGCTATTTTGTCAAAGAACCAGTAGCTGAGACTGATTTAGTCAAAATAAAAACAAAAGAATCCATGCTTTTTTTTTCCTTTTTAGCTGTCTCATGTATCTCTGATGATAACCAGTCAGCAGAAATGATGAAATGCCTCAAGCAGACAAACAGCATGCCTCCCCTCGTGCAAGAATGCATGGTCCCATGTCGAGAAGACTGCACCTTTACTGCTTGGTCCAAGTTTACACCCTGCTCCACCAGTTGTGATGCCACCCAAAGCAGGCGGCGACAGCTCACAGGTAGGGTGTACCTTTCACTCTTTAGCTTCAGACAAGTGGTACATCTCTGAATATCTCATGTAGAGGGTAAGCTTCAAAAGGCAGGAATTTGTGGCAGGTCTCTCCCTCTCCCCCATCCACCATTACATATCCTGAATACCTAGAGCAATGCCTGGTACATAATGCGAGGGTACTTTCAAAAAGTAAAAAAATAGAATTAAAAAATAATGCAAATCTTTGCATGAACTTTTTGAAGTACCTTCATATGTACTCAATTAATATTTGTGAAATGAATGAAAGATGTAAAACATTTTATAGTTATCAAGTTCTTTTGTATTTTGTTTATAATCTCTGTAGTAATAAAAGGCATTTTATTCACCAACTTCTTTTGGATAGTTAATGGCAAAGTATGGGGTATTTTGTAGTGCCAGGATCTCAACAAGCTTGAAAGCAGTCACTGATTTGGAAAGAACATCAAAGGCAAACCCAATCTGTATCATTGTCTTTTGCTATTACCATATAAGCAACCTGACATTTCAAAATTTTAGTAGTGTAAGGCAAAAATCAAATTACATATATAGATTCTGCTTTTGTGGTATATCATTCGTTACCAGTTCTGTTTACATCTGAAAAATATAATGGAAATTAAAGCAACTAATAGTATAATTGAAGTCCTGGGGCGATTTTTGCCTGCAATATACAAGTAATTGGTGCAGTAGTTTATTTTACTACTTGTCTAGATAAATATGCCACATCTTCTCCTAACTGCATTTGTATTTGTATATGTAGAAAACTTAATTCAGGGAATGGAGAACCAAAGGAAAAATGCCAGAATAGTCATTGAGATAATAAAATTGGTGTTGACAATTCTCCTAACTGCATTTGTATTTGTATATGTAGAAAACTTAATTCAGAGAATGGAGAACCAAAGGAAAAATGCCAGAATAGTCATTGAGATAATAAAATTGGTGTTGACATTGAAGAATTAAGCATAGATTATCATTTGTTCTCAGGAGCAGTTCAAATGCTAATTCTCTTGGTTTCAAGACCCCTTTGTTTGAATGCATTGCTTACTTGATCATATTTTAAATTTAATTCACTGTAATGGGTTTACTTATTTGACTAAAGCCTTTAACAGAATTTTTGCACACAAACTAGGAGCCCATTCCTAAATGTAGGTGAAATGTATAAACAATCACAAATAGAAATATCAAATAAGACATGCTATAGTTTGTGCTCTCTCTTTCACAAAAACGTGTGAATATATAATTTTTTTAGTATGACTTATGTTTCTAAGATAAAACAAATTTCTTATAGAGAAACAATACAATGGAATAGAATGTGTGGAACAGGAATAATTTGAAGTTCGAGGCCAATGTAGTGAAACTGTTTGCATGTACATACATAATGCATCAGAAACCATTATCCTAGCAACTCTTTATATCTTCGTGATGAAAGAAAATTTCTTTTAGAGGGAAAGAAAGCTTTTAATTAGTGGCCAGTCTTTTTCTTTCTCTTGAAGGTTTGCTAATGATATTTTGTACATGCAAAATTAGAATGGAAAATATTGAAAATCTTAGGATATTTATTTATTTTACAACCAGCACAGTTTGTAATGCATTGTTAAAACTTTAATGAATTTGGCTTTTATCTAAAAGTACTTTTTATGTAAATATTGAAGAACTGTTGTATATTTTTCTGCAAACTCTAACCCATACTAATTATTCATACTAGAAGTCTATTTAGAATTGCTTTTCTAAATTATTAACTGCTATGCTTTCATGTGGCTGATTTTTGTGTACCTTCATGTCTAGATGACATCAAAACGACTGATCAACTTCATGAAATACATGAGTTATAAAAAAAAATAACCAGTCATATGAATTATTTAGTATCATGGTTGAAAAAATCCCCATAGTTAACTGAAATTTTTCCACTTTTAAAAGATTTATTTTTATTGCTGTGAAACAAATGCTTGTGTTTTGGTATCTCTCATGTAATTTGGTAGTAAATGTAATAAATAATCTCTAAAATGAATGGTGATAAAAGCCATAGAATCAGACTCTAAAACCATGTGACATTATCTCTCTTTAATGCAGATACACGCAGAAAAGTGTATATGCACAAGTACACACCACTCCATTGAATATGGGGCCATCTGGGGTATTTATTTTTCTTTTCTACATTTGTAACAAGAAGCTTTAATTCACCATCTGGGTGTTCTGTGTGTTGTAACCAAGCTAGATCATCACTGGTTTTAGACTGAGTGGTAATTAAAGAAGTTGTTTATACAGTGCTGAAAATATTCAATTCATTAGATAGAAAATCTGCCCAGGACTTATTTATATATATTTATATGTATATTTATAAATATATATTATTTATATATATGTATAATTTATATATATATTATACAAGCATATATATTCAAAATAACTAGATAACTAATACGTTCTCTGAATTAAGGAAAAAAGTCTTAAGAGTTGTACTAGAGATTGATATTTTAGTACTTGCTGGTCCTGCATTCAAAGGTTAATACTGATTTTGATGAGGATATAATCAAAGTAAAAGACTGCTGATAATTTCTTACTGTGAGAACCATTTCTGCATTAACTAACTTTCTTGAATTCTTCTTCAAACAGTGATGCCATGTAATTAAAAAGGATATCAGAAATACAGAGATAGCACATAGTTGCACAGGATATTTGTTCTGCTAGTAACTTCCGGTTGCCTTGTAGATGAACATGTTCTTTCCTCTATCTTCCTCTTTTTCTCTCTCTCTCTCTTTCTTCTCATTCTCTTTTCCTCTTCCCTTCTTCCCTTTCTCTCTGTTTTCTATCTTCCTCTTTCTCTCTCTCTCTCTCTCTCTCTTTCTTCTCATTCTCTTTTCCTCTTCCCTTCTTCCCTTTCTCTCTGTTTTCTTTTTTTTTTTTTTACACCTTCCTTTCCTCAATTATTCAATGGCCTTTTTTTTTTGTTTATCACTTAGGTGTACTAGGCCTTGGAAATACCATGAGGGAATAGACATGACCCTAACTTAACAGAGCTCACAGTCTGTTAAGATATAGAGAAATTTTTACTACACATACTTACAACACAGTATGGCACCTGCTACAGTAGCTTTGTATTAAGTGCTGTATTTGTTTCCTATTTTTGCTGTAACAGATTACCATAAAATTGCTGACTTTAAACAACAAAGACATGTTACTTTACAGTTATGCAGGTCTGAAATCTGACAAGGGTTTCTCGGGGCTAAAGACAAGATGGTAGGCAGGACTGTATTTCTTTTTGGAAGCTGTAGAGAAGAATTTTTTCCCCCTTTCCAAACTTTTAGAGACTGCCCACATTCCTTGGCTCATGGTCACTTTCCTCCATCATCAAAGCCAGAATCGTGGCATCTCTCCAACCATTCTTCCATAATCATATCCCCTGTGACCTTCTACTCAGCCAGAAAAAGTTTTCTGATTTTAAGGACCCATGTGATTAGGTTGGATCTACCCAGATAATCCTGAGTAATCTCCCCATCTCAAGGTCTGTAATCTTACCCACATTTCCAAAGTCTTTTTTGTCATGGAAGGTAACATGTTCAAGGTTACAGGGATTAGGATGTGTACATCCTTGGAGACCCATTATTCTGCCTATTATAAGCTATAGCGAGGCACTCGTGTTTGCCTGGCTATGCCCCGCTATGCTATAACCAAGACCCTCACCCAGATATCATACAGACCCAGCTACAACTGCACCCGCACCTTGTCTCACACTGAGGTTGCCACACATTGCTGTAACAGAATTTTCCACCCTGCTTCTCCCTTACTTTAATTTTCCACCCTGAGACAGAGTCATAACCACATAAGATCATAAGATCACCACTTTTGCCCTGTTGCAAAAACCTGGAAATGCTAAGAGATAAAAATAACAGCCCTGCTGCATTCGGGGCTCAGCCTTTGGACAGGAGTCTGCTGAGCCAATGACAGCATATCAATAAACTCTGTTTCCTGCCACAAACCTAGGTGTTTCCTGCCTCTCCCTGTGAGTTTGCAGTAGCCCACTGCAACAATAGGAGTACAAGAGATAAGCACCTCTTCCTTTTTTAAAAAATTTTTATTTTTGTTTCTATGTTTTATTTTTAAATTTTATTTTGTCGATATACAATGTGGTTGATTATTGTGGCCCATTACCAAAACCTCCCTCCCTCCTCCCTCTCCCCCCTCCCACCCAACAATGTTCTTTCTGTTCGCTTGTCATGTCAACTTCAAGGAATTGCAATTGTTATGTCTTCTTCCCCCCAACCCCCAGTTATTTTGTGTGTGTGTGAATTTATTTATTTATTTTTAGCTCTCACCAGTAAGTGAGAACATGTGGTATTTCTCTTTCTGTGCCTGACTTGTTTCACTTAATATAATTCTCTCAAGGTCCATCCATGTTGTTGCAAATGG